CAATTGATTATATCTACGCGCCTGAGGGGAAAACGAAAAATATTGTATATCCCAACGCTTTAGAATAAAAGACAATTACTAAGAAAAATTTTAATTGTAAATATTAAGTAAATTATATTTTAGTAATTATGTAATATTTTGTACATTTATCCTAATGAATAGGAATAAGAAATAATTATTAAGAAATAATGTAAATATCAATAATCAATAAAATATTTTAAATACCAAACTTTCTTTGTCTTACTACTTTATGGTTTTGGATAGTGACAAACAAATATTAATAAAATGTTCCTAAATAAAAAATGTATATTAATACATTTTGAATATTTTTTATTTTATATCGACAGGAGTAGCAAAGCACAACGGCTTTTAGCTAGTACTATATAGAATATTTCTTTCTACAATAGTTTAAAAATAACATTAATACAGTTTTTATACCCTCCACCAACATCAGTGGTGATTAGCGTGGCCGCAAAAAGTCGATCGCTCAAAGTTTAAAAAAATCAAAATCTTTGGCCAAAAAGCTAACATATGAAGCTATAACTCTAGAAATGTAAATAATAGAAACTCGCTTAGTACCTCAAAACAAAGCTAATATTGCACTTCATATTTTATATTATATACATAATTCTTTTTACTTTAAGTCAAACAGAGTTACAACAGATTTTGTCTCCAAAAACGTGACCTGGTCGCGGTAGGAGCATACTTCGTATATTTTGATATTATGTGATAAATGTTGATAGTAGGTAAATATTTTATATATTATTGTTAAAGAGTCATAATGTACATAGATTTAGTTTTCATAAAGATGTAAAACAGAAAAATTGGTTGAAAAATGTGAATGTTATTAAAAATTCCCCAGGCTATTAACGTGTCTCAGATCACTTGATTTGGAAATGTGGAAAAAATTAACTTATTTTGGAAAATATTCTAATAAATCTATTTTATTACATAAAATATCTATATTTACTCGATAATAAGTTTTTGTCCTTAAAAGATATCGTGAACCTGTTCTTAGCTATTATCAAAAAAATATACAGTGTCTCACATAAGTATTCGAATATGGAAAGAAACCTAATTTAATAATATTTTTTGTGCGTAAAAAGAATAAATTTATTTGTTATATTATCTAGAGAGCCCTAAGGATTAATATCACACTCTTTAAAATTTGGAAAAATTACATTTACTTAAATAAATGTAACTTTTTTTTAAAAAAAGTCCATAAAATTATCTCACAAACGTATTCGAATTTTCCCTGTATTTCATATTTGACCATATTATGCGAAACTGAAAACTTAGAATCGAATGTTTTTTTGCTTAAAATTCTTTTAAGGGATTTTTATTAGAGATGCCAAACGGAAATTCCCGATTTGAAAGTACCGAAAACCGGGATTTTAAAAAATGAAATCCCGGGGAATTTCGGGGTTTAAAATCCCGAATTTTTAAGTGTTTTTCCGCGATTTTATACATTATAAAGTGTTAAATAATAGAATTTTAAAAGTTTTTGGACTTAAGATGACTCTACTTACCCAGCAAAAAATCTGAAATTTTTGGTAATAGCCAGTAGTTATTTCATACATTACTTGGTAATGAGTGTTCATTATCATCCACATTATTTTATTTAGCTGAATAGGTTATTACTGGTAAAGAACAAAACAATTGGATTTGTTATGGCTCAATTGTCTAGGTCGCTTATTTAACAAACAGGGGGTTCCTGGTTCGAGCCCTGCTGGATACTGTTTATTTTTTTTCAAAATGACATTCATTTATATATTTTTGTAAAATGCCGTTCTCAAAATTACAAAAAGCAACATGTTAATGGAGCATCTAGTAAGCGGCTGGAGTGAGAAACACAGAAAACAACTGAATGCCTGGGTTCAAATCCCGACCGAGAATTTTTTTATTTTTTGTTTTCTACATACAAAGTCGGCCCAAAATAACTAGCTATCACATAACATATTTGTAGGTTTATTTGTAACTAGTTATTTCGCAAAGTTTTTGTAATCAAATTAGTAACCATTTATTAATTTGTTTAAGGTAGGTACATATTATTTGAACCTCGTCAAACAAAAATAATTAGTTATTCACCCCAAAAGTAATTAGTTTCCACGAGATTCCAATATTACTTTCTAGATTACTAGGTAATGAAAATTTTTGCTGGGTACTTACAAGCTGAAATATCAAAAATAAAAAGGACAATAAATAGGCATAGATACTATCGGATATATAAAAATAACAAGTAAGAAATTATAGGCTGATGAGGCCGACCATCACCAGTTATGAGAGTAAAATGTGATTTAGTTTTCATAATAAATCATTTAAGTTGATTTATACCTCGCCACCGATATATTTTAGCCATTTATTGTTAAAACACTATCTTTCTAAAATATGCTTGTGGGATGCCTTCATATGAGTCGATCCTCATAAAATTTGGAGGACGAATTTACAGTTACATAAAATGTGTTTATGCTGAATTTCATTGCGGCACTTCTCTTTTTAAGCGAATTGTGGACACTAAATTCTTTTTTAAGGCTGTGCTTTGTATGGGGCTAGGATCAAAAGAAGCCCGATCATTTCAAAATTCATCAGGGTATTTAAGGACAGTATAAAACAAAAGCACTACTCCGGAGAAACCCAATATACCATCCCCACTAAGCTGGTGTAGGGTATAAAAAGGGCAATAAATAGGCATTGATACTATCGGAAACCTAATGGGTGTATTAGAATCTATAATGAAAGTCAACCTGTCAATAAGATGGCGAGATGATAATTCCCTTATTTGGGTTAGAGAACACGGGATATAACTAAAAATAATATTGCCTTGGCAAAAGCTGGAATTACTATGGCTATAATTGATAGAAACCATCCCGAATCCCGGGTTGCTAAAAATCAGTCCCGATTGGCATCCCTAGTTTCTATCAACCGAAAGGATGAATTTTTGGTCCATTTGGTCCATAATTTTGGGGCATTTGTACCATCTTTTCATATAATATCATTAAAATGGCGATTTTTTACCATATTTGCAATTTTTTCCTTCTTTTCCAGAGATAAAACCGAAATTTAATTTTCGGATTTAATAGACCTCTTGAGGTATCTAAAAATAATTTTTTTTAAAGGATCTGTACTTAAGCGCTCGAAGATGTATTTTTGCGATCGTTCTTCTGTTTCTAATTGAATTATCTGGATCTTTAGTCCCTTTTCGTAGCACTAGGGTCGATATTTTCCGACAAAGTTGGCTAGTATATATTCTTGTAGATATTAGCACTAATATATTTTCAATTTCCAAGACATTGTATCGGTATACAACTTCAAAATATGCCTTAACAAAACGTCATCCCATACAGTGGATTTCAGGTTTTACTACTCATAACTTCCACGCTTTTGTTTCCCAATAATAACACTGTAAGTGCAAAATTTTGGGTTTATTTTGATCATCGTAAATAATATTTCATCAGATATCAATATTTTTGAGTTAGGCCATAATGATATGGTGACATGCAGCCTGAAAGCCATTGGTTATAAAAATAATGGTTATACTATATTGAAAGTTGTTTCTTCAAGGCATGTTTTGGAGTTGTACACTTCCACAATATATTAAAAATGTTAAAAGCTGATATCTAAAAGAATATATACAAGACAACTTTCCCCGAAAATGGTTGAGCCTAGTATTATATAAATGGACTTAAGTTCCAATAAACTGAACTAGCGACAGAAGAATGATCCCAATAATATATCTTGGAACGTTTAAATACAGATTCTTGTAACAAAAAATATTACTTTTTAGATACCCCAAGTGGTCTATTAAATACCAATATCAAATTTTGGTTTTATCTTTGGAAAAAAGGAGAAAAAATTACAAATATTGCCAAAAATCGCCATTTTAATGATATAACATGAAAATATGGTACAAATCCCCCAACATTGTGGACCAAATGGGGCAAAAATATATCTTTTCGGTTGATAGTAACCCCTTAAAACAATTTTAAGCATAAAAACCATTCGATTATAAAATCTGTGTTTCGTATAATATGATCAAATATGAAATACAGGAAAAATTCGTATACTTTTGTGAGGTAATTTTGTGGACTTTTTTTAAAAAAAGCTAAATTAATTTAAGAAAATGTAAATTTTTCAAGTTTTAAAAAGCGTGATTTTAAACCTAAGGACTGTCTAGACAATATAACAAATAAATTTATTTATTGTGCATACAAAAAGTATTATTAAATTTGGTTTCTTTTCATAGTATACCTAAATTCGAATACTTATGAGAGACACTGTATTTTTTTACACGGCAGTTTCAAAACTCCATTTTCAGTTTTTTTTTTAAATTTTTGAAATATCACCAGGATTATGTTATACTATAGTTTACCAAAACAGAACTTAGGGAACGTGCTAAGATAAACTGAAATCAGACGGCCTTTAACAAAAGCAGAAGAACTTTTACTTATGTTTAGAAATGGTTTCACTTTCATAATTACACACTACTAAGGGATCTCTAGGTCTTTTGGGTCCTTTGCCCTCACTAACCAATGTCCTTCGTGACATTCATAACAAAAACATTAGAAGGACCCCGCATTGTATACTACCTTTCAAGTCTTCTTAACTTATAAAAAAACACTTATGCATTTCGAAATTCCTTAAAAAAATATCGTTAATAAATGTGTATTAAGATAAGTTGATAAATTAATGATAAAGAAAACTTTTTAACAAATATATATGTATAACAACATTCGATTCAAAATATAGGTAAATAAAGAAAATTTACATTAATAATACATCACAACGTTGTTGAGGCCTCCACAAAATGTTTGTTGGGATATTATAGTAAACTGAGCTTAAATAATATTTGAGTGATATTAATGCCCTAATTCTGTTAGATATTGGACGAATTTTCTTCCTCACACATTTGAGTATTTGTTTTTGAATTTTTGAAGTCAATAATGGTTGTTGTCTGTGATAAAAACTCTTAATAACGTAAAATATTTGATTCATTAAAAATATTGTGGAAGTTTCAAAACTTCAAACCAGACGAATACAATTTTGTAGTCTGCTTAATTTTTTAAAATATTAAAAATGTTTTCTTTTGTTGGATTCGTTTCCACAACCAACACTCTTCGTGTCCAGAGGAAACAGTTGCGCGATAGAACAAATCCGTTAGAATTGCATGATGCTGAGTAAGTATTAAATAAAATTAAAATTATATATACTACATATTGTTATCATTAGGTTTCAAAGAAATATTAGATTAAATAAAGAGGTTTTCAAAAATGTGTTGTTCCTGGTAACACCTCATATGGCAAAAACCTACAAACAAACAGCAGTCCACCCAACACTTAAAGTGGCTATATTTTTAAAATTTTTAGCCACAGGAAGTTACCAAAGACCGGTTGGAAATGACTTTCTTGGGTGTGTTTCTCAGGCAAGCATGTGTCGCATTTTAGACGAATGTCTAACAGTTTTTGAATGCCACTACTGCCCAAAGCAAATCAAACTTAATATATCCCAAGAAGAGGAACAGAGCGCAAAATGCAGAATTAATGAAAAATTTAATTTTCCCGGGGTTTTAGGCTTCGTTGATGGCACACACGTGCGGATAAAGTGCCCCGAAGTAAATCCGGAATTTTACTACAATCGAAAGGGATACCACAGCATAAACGCCATGATAGTAAGTATGACGGTTTTGAATAAAGTTTTTCTTTAAATGTTTTTCAATTACAGATTTGTGATGATAAACTAGTAATTCGTTTTGTAGATGCTCGACATCCCGGCAGTAATCACGACTCTTTCATTTGGAAAGGTAGCCAAGCTGACGATTATTTCAATTTATTGTATAGTGGAGGTGAAAGAAATGTTTGGGTGTTAGGTGTGTATATTAATGTAATATTGCTATTATGAACTGTTTTATACTTAATTCTTTGTTTATTAAACTAGGAGATTCCGGTTATCCATTATTACCATACTTAATGACACCGCTGAGGAATTGTAACACGGAACAGGAAGAAAAATACAATAAAAGCCACATAAAAGCTAGGAATTGTGTAGAACGCTGTATCGGCGTCCTCAAGAACAGGTTCAGATGCATTCTGGGGGAAAGAGGCCTTCATTATGAACCACACAAGGTTACCAAAATAATTAATGTTTGCTGTGCATTGCACAATGCATGCATAAAGTTTGAAAATATAATAGATCCTCCAGAAGAACCTATTATAGATGATGTTGCAGATGATGTTGTTCAGGAGAGCAGTCTCGTTGCAAACGATATCCGAAGACGTATTATAAATAATTTTTAA